CCTTTTGGTGCTTGGAAATGGAATGTCTTTCTGCGTTTAGCTTGCGAGAACGGTCTTAGTTTACTTTTGCAGAGCTTCTTCTATATATTGGCCTGGTTTCTATCTACATGGAAGCATACAGAGAGGAAGCTCTCAGAGTGAAACAGATCGCTGAGAGGAGATTTGCAGAAAAAGATTTTACAGGCGCAAAAAGTTATGCCTTGAAAGCTAGGTCCTTGTTTCCTGATTTGGAAGGTTTATCTCAGATGGTTGCGACCTTTGAAGTTTATTTAGCCTCTCAGAGTAGAAGCGGTGGTCAAATTGATTATTATGCAGTACTTGGGCTGAAACCGTCTGCCGGGAAAAGAGAAGTGAAGAAACAGTACAAGAAGATGGCTGTATTGCTCCATCCTGACAAGAACAAATGCATTGGAGCTGATGGTGCGTTCCATCTGATATCTGAAGCCTGGAGTTTCTTGTCCAGTGAGTTTAGTAAAAGCACTTTTTATTACAAAAGAAAGAAGCATATCGACTCTACAGTGGTTCAGAAGCACAGCACAGAATACATGTCTGGGACTGGGACTGCAGCATTTGATCGGTTTCCACCATCTTCAGAAAGACTTGACACTTTCTGGACTGTATGCACCTCTTGCAAAGTTCAGTACGAGTATCTGAGGAAGTATATGAATAAGAGGCTTTCATGTAAGAACTGCCGTGGAGCATTTATTGCTGTAGAAACGGGTCCAGCTCCTGTCAGTGCACCATTTCATTACACGCCTCCATCTCATGCGCCTCCAAGTAATGGCTATGGTGCACATGGTTATGATGCTGTTGCACGCATGCCCACCAATTCCACATATTTCTTAGGCCACTATCCTAGGCAAGGACATGGATATGAATATGCTACAAATGGTTCATATGATTGGAACTCATACTCTGGAACAACCTCCCCAGGGAATCTGGATTTGAAGCGTGTGTCCTCAGTGTCCAATGGGTATCCTTATAAGCACAGTAACTCAGTAGTCAGCGCGGGAATAAGTAAAGTCAAAGAAGGTTCTAATGGGACATGCTCGATAAAAAGCACACCAGGTATTCTGATATACGCTAATCCGCCTAGCATGTCTGCTCATGCAACTGCAGTTAAGGTCGGAAGACCTGGGAAGAAGAGCAAAGTTTTTCTGGAATCGTCTGGTAATGGATTTGCTGAGAACACTCTGAAATCTGCTTCTGTATCAAAGACAACGAATGCGGATGCCAACATGGAACAGGACTACAAACTTCATGGCCAAAGTTATGGTTCAACTAGGCGGTGGTCTGCTGCATCAGTATTGGATACACGGAAGCCATTAATTCAAAAGGCCAGAGCAGACATTCAGAAAAGACTGGAGTTCATGAGATTGGCTTCAGAGGCAGCAGCGGCTGCAGAGGATTTAACACCCATTGATGAAAAATCTGTTATCTCCTGTAAGTTGGGAGATGTTGCGGGACGCAAAACAAATGGGCCAATAACAGTCCCAGACTCTGATTTCCATGATTTCGATAAAAACAGATCGGAGGAGAGCTTCGAGCCACGGCAAATATGGGCAATATATGACGAAGATGATGGTATGCCACGCCTGTACTGTGTGGTTCGAGAAGTACTCTCAGTTCAACCCTTTAAGATTGACATAGCTTACTTGAGCTCCAAAACCGACATAGAGTTTGGGTCAATGAAATGGGTACAATACGGGTTTACAAAGTCGTGCGGTCATTTCAGGATACGAAACTCTGACATAGTTGAACATGTTAACATCTTTTCACATCTTTTGAGAGGCAAGAAGACAGGGAGAGGTGGTTGTGTTCGAATCTTCCCCAAAACTGGGGAGATTTGGGCAGTCTACAAGAACTGGTCACTAAACTGGAACGAATCAACCCCGGATAAAGTGAGGCACCAATATGAAATGGTCGAGATCCTTGATGAGTATACTGAACAATATGGTGTGTGCATTGTGCCTCTTGTTAAACTAGAAGGCTACAAAACTGTGTATCACAGGAGCACGTGGGAGGACAGCAAGAAGTGGATACCGAGGAGTGAGATGTTGCGGTTTTCGCATCAAGTGCCGTCTTGGTTTCTTAAAGATGCAACTAGTGGCTTTCCCGGAAACTGTTGGGACTTAGATCCGGCAGCAATCCCAGAGGAGCTGCTTGACATCAGAGCAGGAACCGATTGATTTCGAGGAGGGTTTCAGATTGAGACCCAACTGTAAGAGTTGTATCAGCGAATAATCGACAAGATTGTGGAGTTTTATGAGGAACTGTTAACATGCAAATCATTGTGTTTCGTCACTGAAGCTGTTTGTATTAGGCAATATGTTCAACGAGTAAGCAAAGCATAGTTTGACTTCTGTTTGC